ATCAAGGAAGCCTGATAACTTTGTTGATGTAGTGTACTATGAAAATTCTCATGTTTTGCTTCACGAGGAGAATATCTATCGTGTTGAATCTGTATGTTCTTCACTGTACAACTCTCCAAAAAACATTTCAAATACTCCCTCCGTCCCAAAAAATGTCTTCTAAAACTGGCAATGTTATGTCCTATCTGAACAAAAGAATCTAATTTTCATTATATTTAATTCAGCTTGTTTTCAAGTGTCCCAAACATCTATAGGCTAAATTTAGTTTAAGCACCAAATGTAGTGTAGCGAAGAATGGATGATTTCCAACACTTGTCCCTTACTAAAATTTAAATGTTGTACTTGGTGAAACATGACTCTTTCTTTGAGATGGAAGTCATAACTATATAAAAATCCCCTAAAGAGAAATATGATTTTGGCCATATCCTAGTGTCTTGGATTGATGAGTTATTGTATTTTAAATAGACATCCTGCCCTCCTGGTATATCCATCCAATTGATGGATGATGAAAACGAGAGATCTGATGTGATGGCAGTTTCTGTGGACCCCAATTTTGCTAGTTATCTTCATTCGGAATATCTTTCAGTAGAGCATCCTAAAAAGGAGTCCCTTGCTGTGATTCTAAAGAGGTAATTCCATGGTCTTTCCAATGAAGTGTTTAAAAGGATTCTCTCAACATCCAATTTTAATGTCGCGTTATTTCAGTTATCGTGTTGCAAGCCTCTTATGTATGGGTCTAATTAAGTCTAAACACTCTTGCTTGATTTTTATCGAACCTTCTTTGCTGTAGTGTAGTTATCTAATTATTATGCGAATGCACAAGATTTGGTGAGTTATGCGATCCCGATTTTCTTACCAATTTATATATAATTTTTTCTGTGTAGAAATAAGAGAAAGTTTTCCAAGCTTGATGAATCATCTGCTCTGTGCATGGCTATGGAAAATGTTACCATTCTAAATGGTTTGGAGTGCAAGATGGCTTGCAGTTCTTCCAAGGTAAGTTTGCTTTCTTTAATTGCATATAGGAGGAAATGAATTTCTGATGTTAATGTGATGATATAATAAATCCAAATTTGGGGAGGGAATGTATTAAAAAGAAAATAGCTGGCACATTTTCTGATCAATCCACTTGCAGGTTTCATATGTCCTTGATACGGAGGATGTCTTTGCCCGTTTTGAGAGGAAAAGAAAGATCCCAACTGGATGGCTGTCAAAACACAACCGCGCTAGAGTTGAACGGTTTCATAGACTTTTGGAAGCATCCTTGTGATTTATGGTATAGTCCTTTTTGTTATTAATAGACAGTATACTTCTTTGTGGCATATTAATCGAAGTAAGACTATTGATTTGTTTTTCTGGAATTTGTAACACCTCTCTTGTACCTGTATGTGTACAGAGCTCGCTTGATAGTTAAAAAGCTAGCTGTGGTACAGAGCTTGCTTGATAGTTAAAAAGCTAGCTGTGGTAAATTCACTACTAGTCGGTTCAAGCAGCTCAGTCATCCATCTTCTCTACTCCTCATAATGGCATCTATGTCATTTTATTGTAAATATATGGCTTGTCTATGGTGTAGATGGTTAGTTATAGAGCTTTGGTTAATTGGTTTCATTTTCCCGGGATCGTAAAAAAACCAATTTAATTCTTTTTCTTTTGTTTTGTTTTGTTTTGTTTTGTGTTTTACAAGCTAGGAGAGTTTTTCTGTTCTCTAGCAAACATTTTTTGCTAGAATGATGTAAAGTACTCATTTGGTAAAGATGGCAGTAAAGCGATTACTTAGAATTACTTGTCGCGGAGAACATATTTTTTAGATTTTAGTCTTCTTTATGCATCATAGATTCAGTCTCATAGATGTTGCCTAAATTATTATGTAATGTTGACACGCTTTAATGCAATTTGAATATAATTCATCTGAATGTACCATATGTAAATGTATGGTAATATTTAAATGATAAAATGCTTTAATGCAATTTGAATATTATACATCTGAATTAGGCTTGGACTCGGGCCGGGTGGCCCGACCCGGAACCGGCACTGTTCCGGCCTGACCCGACCCGGTGGCCCGGTCAGTGACCGGTTCGGGTAGGTTCGACCCGCTGGGGTTCCGGTCTGGGCTCGGGCCCCTCAAAACATGAACCGGCCCGGCCGGTTCGGGCCCGGTCTGGGCCATTTTATTATTTTTCTTTTTGTTTTTTTTTTTGATTTTTTTTTTAAGTTTTTGGGTTGGGCTCGGTATTTTGGGTCATTTGAGATGGTTTGGGATGGTTTGGAGGTGGGGTGGGGGGGGGGGGGGTTAGGGTAGGGATGGACTGGCCCGCTACTGTGCGGGCCCAGACCGGCCCGGTGAACCGGTTAGTGCCCGGTTCAGGCCACCCGGCCCGGTGGGCCGGTGGGCTTCGGTTCTGGGCTCGGGCCCTCCATTTGGTGAGCCGGCCCGACTGGTTCGGGCCTGGTCCGGGCCGAATTTTTTTTTTTTTTCTGAGTTTTTTTTAAGTTTTTGGGTTGGGCTGAGTATTTTGGGCCATTTGAGGTGGTTTGGGGTGGTTTGGGGGTGAGGGGGGGTGGGTTGGGGGTTAAATAGGAGAAGCCAAAAAAAAAAAAAATACAAACCGGGTGGCCCGGCCCGAAATCGGACCCGGAACCGGTGGCTACCGGTTCGGGCTCAGGCCCAACTAAACAGAACCACGAACCGGCCGGGCCCAGGCCCAAACCGGTCCACCCCTAGGTTAGGGGTTAATTAGGAAAAGGAAAAAAACCAAAAAAAAAAAAGTTGAACTGAGGCCCGGCTCGAACCGGACCCGGGGGTTACCCGGACCGGTTCCGGGCCTCCCCTTTCCTGAATCGAGGCCTGGTCGGGTCGAGGCCTGAACCGGCCCGAGTCCATGCCTAATCTGAATGTAACATATGCATGGTATATTTAAATGATAAAATGATCATTTGTAAATTTCGTGTAGAGGACGCACGTCTCTGTTTCTTTTCCTTTGCCGGCCAACATCATGGACCGAAACCGGGCCGCCCGACCCGAGAACCGACCCGGTCTGGTGATCGGGCCCTGGACTGGTCCGGTTTAGGGCTGGGACCGGTTCGGTTCTTACTCAAAATGAGTGGAACCGTTATAAAAGTTTTAACTAATGAAATCGGTTCGGTTCCTATATAAAAAATCAAGAACCGTTATGGAACCGAACCGGTAGTAAACGGTTCGGTTCTTCCTTTTACCGGTTCCTAGAATAATTTTTTCTCGTCTAAAAATCAACACATAATTTATTTTCTACAAATAACATAAACACGTCGAAAATTCAAAACACGTGTATTAAAATTTTATTTGAAGCTCTAATCACTTCAAACATCAAAGCTCAAACTTAACTAATGAACTTTGAACACATAATAGAACAAAAGTGATTTAAATTTTCATGTAACAAATGAAACATTAAAAATCGTTGTAATGTCGGAGCGATGAAGGTTACTCGTCATCATAGTAGCAAGAATAGGACGCCTACTTCAAGTCTTTCAAAGCATAAAAAGACATTGAGTTTGCATGTATATATATAAAAAAAACATTATTACATTCTATTGATTCATAATAAAGCTAATAATTAGAAATATCATGAAAATAGTAAAGTAAAATATGTGCAATCAACTACTAATTATTTGAGTTATTTTATACGGAGTATTTATAAAATTTATATGATGGAACAAAACTTGATTTGTAGAAAGGAGTTTAATGTATTATATCAACCTCATGTACAATATTTATTACTTCTTTTCCGTTGATTAAATTAGAATTGTTAGTTAAATATCTTATATTGTTTTATTATAGTTGTTTTTGGTGGTGGTTATTATTGCTATTATATAATTATTATTCTTATTATTATTATTATTATTATTATTATTATTATTATTATTATTATTATTACTACTACTACTATTACTAATATTATTTTATTTTTTATTTTTTTTATAACGGTTCCTTAACGGTTCCATGCACATATTTTTTATAGGAACCGGGAACCGAACCGTTATAACCCGCTTCGGTTCGGTTCCTACAAATGAGGCATTAATTGTTAACGGTTCGGTTCCTAGATGTTGTTAACGGTTCGGTTCCAATCGGTTCTACGGTTCCCGGTTCCAAAATCCCACCCCTAGTCCGGTTGGACCGCACCGGCTACAAAACCAAGCGGGCTCGGGTGCCCCAAAAATGGAACCGGCCCGGGCCTCAATGGCCATAATTTCAAATTTTTTCGTTAATTTAAAAGACCTACTAGGCTCCTAGCCGATGGGATTATTCCCAAATAGCTTTATAGCCGTTGGAGGATGAGAAGGGAGGGGGGGGGGGTCATGGGTGTTTGGGGGTGGGGGGTGGGGGTGAGGTACATAAAAACCTCTATATACTCCCATTTTCTATACAGTTTTCTCCAACTCTTCCTACAATCCTACTCTCTATTCTCCTATACGAGTAAAGGGTTAATTTAGTACTCCAAGTTGCATAAAAAAGGTCAAATAAGTCCTTATAGGCTTATATAGGAGGTTCTGTCTGGACGTCGCCATTTAGAGCGGTTCCCGGTGAAATTTTTTGACAAAATTTTTTGAGCATTTTTTCATTAAGTCTAGTTTACTCATACAAAATTTCAGCTAAAACTTCAATCGGGAAGGCATTCAAATGAATCCTTGAAGATAACTGCGCAGTTAAAAACGCAGTTAGCTTCAAGAATTCATTTGACTGTCTTCCCGATTGAAGTTTTATCTGAAATTTGGTATGAGTAAACTAGACTTAATGAATAAGATGCTCAAAAAACTTCATTAAAAAATTCACTGGGAATCGCCCCACATGATGACGGCCGGACAGTAAGGACTTATTTGTCTCTTTTTATGCAACTTAGAGTACCAAACCGACCCTTTACTCTCTCCAATACTCTTAATCATCTCCATCTTCATCTTCTCCGATTCTCTCTACATATATTATTTATACACTTATTATATCTACTTATATAATTAATTATCTATTTTTTTTTGAAAGGAAACTAATTATATTATAGCAATCAAACTGAGCAAGGTTCTTCCAACCATACAACGCCAAACTTCCCTATGAGGCTCCACATAGCCAAACAGCTCTCCCACTCTCTGACTAGACATAGAATAGACCACTCCGATTAGAGCAAGACTATTCGCTAACCATGTGAGAGTTTCGAAGCTTTTAACGGCCATACAAGCCTTATCGCTTCCACCCACAAAATTATCCTGAGTAAAAAATAGAAAATAAACCTGCAACCTACCTCTAATGTTCATAATGAAAACAAAAACACAGTACTCAAACGAGAGGAAGCAAATGCTAAAATAACAAAAAGTCTCATGGCCTCCTGCCTTATTTAATCCACATGACCACATGTTGTAGCTCGCCTCTTCTCCGTTTTTTTGCCGCAGGGTGTTCTAGCTCCATTTCCTCCCTAGCCGGGTGGCCTTCTGAGTCCTCCACACGTCTACGTTTCTGGTCGAGCTTCCCTCTCACCTTTCGTGAAGACCCGCCTTCCAAAGTGCTTGTTTTCTTATCCTCCTCACTAATTCCGCTAATAGCCTGGTTAATGATGTTGTTTCTTTTGCCTGCTGGTACAAGTCATTTATTTTTCTTCCATTGCGTTGCCCCCTTTGTTGCTCGAAGCCATGGGCCAAACGGTTTGTCTCCGGTTGTCTCGTATCCCTTCCTCTTGTGAGGGCAATGACTCTCAGCATGTCCTTCTATTCCACACAGAAAGCAAAAACTAGGCAGTTTCTCATAACGGAATTTGATACAGAATTTTACCCCTTCCTCCTTTTGCAGGAATAATTTCATTTTCATGGGTTTCCCCAGATCAATCCGAACACGAATTCTCATAAAAGATTCCCATTTCTTAGAAAAGTTGTGTTCATCAACTTTTATGAAAGTACCCAAAAAATTCCCTATGCGTTCTGCATTATCAACAGTAAAATATCCCACTGAAATATCATGAACTTGGATCCATAACTCAGCTCTATTCAAAGGAACAGACAGAGGGATATCCCCTTCTTTGAGCCTACTCATAACCATTAGGTTCTGATCAAATATCCACGATCCTTCATCTGCTACCCTGTTCATATCCTCCTCACCATAAAATTGAAACATATATCTTTTAGGACCGATTTCAGTTATGTTAACACCTTTCTTGGGTTTCCAGAAAGATGCCATAATATCCCGGAAGTTAGTAAAACGTACGGGTTTTTCCGACGTAATTGTGCCAGAGCCAGGTTGTACCTAGACGAGTTTTGTGCCATAGGTTCCACGATCAAGACTTCGTCTTCCTCCTCCATCTCCATCTGTCCATATGCTTTTGCTAACGCCTCAATTTCTCCCTGCTTGTATCCCTCCTCCATCACGTCCAGCCGCAGAGGGCAGGTTTGCAAAAGAAAAAAAAACGGTATTACCTCAAAAAAGAAAACGTGAGAGATGATTTGAGCACTACAGTGTCTCCAATACGTCTAGTTCAAACTCATTTGTGAAGTCAATAATGAACTATCACAATCCAAGAAGCCTGCAGTGATCGTGCCGTGAAACGATTTGCGTAAAAACCTTACGCTACCAAACTAAACCCTAGGGACGGCGCTAGGTCCCTCCACTAGCAGCTAAACAATTAATTATTTACTTATAAATACATATATTATATTACTAATATTTATTATCTACTTAAAATATATTTATTATGCACTTAATATCTACTTATTATCTACTTTTTATTTTCTTGTTATTTACTTATGTAGTTATATTTATATATTACATTTAGTTAATATATACTTATATAGAGAGGGGCCTTCTCGGTGGTATTTTTTGTTCAAATTTTTTGTGTATGTTTTTCATCAAGTCTAGTTCATCCATACCAAATTTGAGCAAAAAATTCAATCGGGAAGGTCGTCAAATGTATTTTCCGGACCAGTTAACTTGCAAAAATCATTTGACGACCTTCCCGATCGAATTTTGAGCTGAAATTTGGTATGGACAAACTAGACTTGATGAGGAACATGCTCAAAAAATTTCATCAAAAAATTCCACCAAGAAGGTGCCCAAACGGGGTCGGCCGGACGGGGCAGCCCGTCAGGCCGGCCTGACATGAAGAGCACTCTATATATATATATATATATATATATAGTAATCTTTCCTGAATTTCCTGACCGGAGCACCGTCCGGCCTCCTCCTTTTGAGGGTTTTCCCGGTGGAATTTTTTGCTCAAACTTTTTGTGTATTTTCCTCATCAAGTCTAGTTCATCCATACCAAATTTCAGCAAAAAACATCAGCAAAAAAATCAATCCGGAAGGTCGTCAAATGATTTTTGCAAGTTAACTGATCCGGAAAATACATATTCCGGACCAGTTAACTTGCAAAAATCATTTGACGACTTTCCCGATTGAATTTTTGGCTGAAATTTGGTATGGATGAACTAAACTTGATGAGGAACATACACAAAAATTTTGAACAAAAAATACCATTGGGAAGGCCCCCAAATGGAGGAGGCCGGACGGGGCTCCTATGTGGAAATTCCGGTCAGGAATAATTCTATATATATATATATATAATTATATATAAATATAATATTATATAATTAAATATTAAATATAGAATTTAAAAGAAATATAGAATATAAAAGAAATATAGTTTTTGTTTAGTATTTCAGATTTCATAAATTCTTTATCTAAACGACATTTTTTGCTGTAATTCAATGTAATTAAATATTCCAAGATTAAAAAGAGCGGATCAGGTGAGAAGTGTCCTTAGGCTGAGAAGCTGCGAAGTTAACTTATAACCAAAAAACACGAACTTTTAACCAATAAATCATAACTTATAGACCCCCTCAAAAATAATTACAAAAATGCCACCGCGTCGAAAAAACATTCCAGGTTTTTTGACGCGGTGGCATTTTCGTATTTTTTTTGGAGGGGGTCTATAAGTTATGATTTATTGGTTAAAAGTTCGTGTTTTTAGCTTATAAGTTAGACTTCGCAGCTTCTCAGCCTAAGGGGGACTTCTCACACGATCTTCTCTATATATATAGAGAGAGAGTTTTGTTCTTGTCCGGTAGGTTCGTAGAAGTAAAAAACGAACCAAACAAATCTCACCCATTAGATATAAACGAAAGCAGTGTAGGGCTCAGATTTAATTTAAATGTCAAAATCAGACTTTTATATACACCACGCGCTTGTCGATTCTGGAGTACACTTCTCTTCTCTCTGTAATCTCCCAGGTAGGAATAGGGATGGCAATGGGGCGGGGTTGGGGCGGGGGTTCACTCCCCCATCCCCGCCCCGTGTCTAAAAAATCACCCCCACCCCCGCCCCATCCCCCACTACTATTCGACCCGCCCCATCCCCCGCCCCGACCCGCTAGACCCACGGGTACCCAACGGGGAAGTACTCGTAAAAAATTAACATCATTTTAGATTCTGACAATTTTTCAAAAATTTAACAACACTTCTAGTAGCCAATTTTTTTTTTTTTTTTTTACTTTTTAAGTGTCAATGTAATCTTACATCCCATTTCAAATCTAGAACACATTATACGCGTTCTAAATTAGTAATTTTTATCAAACTCTAAATTAGCATTGATTAGCTCTATAATATTTTCTTAAACCCTGCATTCAATCAATCATGGTCATTTGACGGCATCTAGGACGACATATGATCACCAAATTTTAAGAGCCCTAACTACAATCATAAAGATGACATTCAAAAGAAAAGAATTAATGCATTATAATAGTAAAGGAAAAAAACTTTCACACCGTGCCTAAGGCGTTTAAGCTAATATCACTTTATAACTTTCCCAAATTCATTTTATTTTATCTCTAAAAAATCATTTTACTTTATGATTTTGATAAGCAATTTTACAAGATAGCTTAGTTATTAAACAGGAATTAGATAGATCCATTACGCACAATCCATTAGATAGGAAACCACTAAACCCACCGGGCCACCATGCTATTTTAATTACTTCGTATTAGTATTACTATTTTTATTAGTATTATTATTGAGATTATTATTAATTATTACGGGGGACGGGGCGGGGACAGTGCGGGGGGTGCATAACCCATCACCCGCCCCATATTTATGCGGGGAGAAAATATCTCCCCCACCCCACCACCCGCCCCACCCCACCACCCGCCCCAACTCTCCCCCACGGGGCGGTTCCCCACGGGCCCCCGCCCCCATTGCCATCCTTAGGTAGGAACCTCGACACAACCTTCCTCCCGGCCACAAGCGTCCGTATTTATTGTAATCTCTCTATATTTTTTTGGTTTTTTTCGATTTTCCTTCAAAATGTTTCTACGATCTCTGATTTCACCCAACTTTTTAAAGTTCTACAATTTAGAAGTTTTTCATTTGTTGCGGGCTAGTTTTAATTGTATTTAAATTGTGTCCAAAGTATGAAACTTTTTTTTCCTGTGTTTGAGATGAATTGTCAAGCTTATTTTCTAAAATTATAGCTTCCCCTGAAATGTAAAATTCATCTGCATATTAGCCTAGTCTTAATTTTCAAACTAACCTACTGTCAAATTGCAAACCCAGGTCGGCTGATTTTCGGTCTGTCCAGGTAATGTAAGTTTCATCCTACCGTGTATCAAATTTATTTTTACCTGCCCGTAGATTGGTAATTGAAAATCTGTTTTTTAATAAATGCCTATTCTGTGTATTAACAACAGGGCAACATCACACGTGGGTATATGCAATGGTTTGATCCGGTTTACTGAGAAAGGTTACTAAATTAGAAAAAAATGAAGATTTGCTACAATGTTCTAGTTGGTCGAGAGAAGTGTACTCATTCCATAAGAGAAAGATCTAACAGATGAAGCAAATGAGAGGTCGTTTGCTACAAGAAATATTAGCAGTGGTCTGTTTTTCTGAGTGATAATAGCAGTTGCTTGGAAGCTTGGTTTTGCAGCTAGTGGTGTATAACCAAATAACATAGCTATTTGGTAGCTTTTGAGGCTTTTTAGTTTGCCGGGTTAGTGTAAAAATTCAGATTTGAATAATGGTTTATGATGGAAGAGTGTGTGTAATGCCAATGTAGTTTGTAATTCCAACTTTGTGTTTGAGTTCCAACTTTCTGGAAAATGAAAGACACCCTTTTTGTGTTATTTGAGTTTTTCAAGAGATGTTTATAGAGGAAGAGTTAGAATGTAGCTTTGAAAAGGGCTGCCTACAGAAAAATTATGCCTGCTGCAATAACATAAACAGAATCTGAAGCAAGCACTGCCTATGAATTACCTTATGCAAAAACGACCTTGCCAAACATAAACCAAGCAGAACGAACAAAATGGCCAAAATGACAATTGCCACAACATGTTTAATACTAAGTAGTCAAACCAAATGACCAAAAGATTCAGAATTCATAATAAAAACATGTTTAACAACATCAAAATGACAAAGTTCTGATAGAAGTACAAGTACATGAACTAATCATGTTCAAATGACAAAGTTCTAAAAAAACACAACTACAAATTACTTAATTTCCTTTTGCCTGTTTTGGACAATTGCGTTTGTCGTGACCAGACCCCTTACAAACACTGCAAACACGGTTAAGAGCTGAAGATTTTTCTAAACTTGACTTTAAACGTTTACCACACCCCTTGTGTCTTGCATGGTCGGGCTCCAGTAGATCTATCGAACATGAGGATTCAACAACTTTCTTTTTTTTCCTTTGATCACTTTGGTTATTTGCCAAATGTTCTTTGAACTTTGTGCGCCACTCTTCTAGTAGCTTTAGACCAATTTCTTGATCTTCAGGTGACTCGTCTAGTAGCTCATAATAACCTCCAAGAAACGCCTCTAACGCTTTACCGCTTCCCCCACACAAGGCGCGTCTATGATCCTCTATTATTGTAACACCAAATGAATCTTTCACAATTCCCCTTCTCGCTCCCTTCTTCCATCTGTCAAGTATATAATACTCAGGGAGTTCATATATCTTAAGGGAATCTAATACCCTCAAGATATGTGCACAAAGTATTCCAAAGAACTCCATTTTTTTACATGAACAACAAGCAATTTGTGTGTCTCGAGCGAAATGGACTTGTCTAGTCATCTTTACACGTGTTTCGTTTGACGTCCCTTTAAATTCTAAAATGAAAACCATATGGTCTGTGTCTTCCCTTTTCAATTCCAAGGAGTAAGTGAAACAATTATGAAGTTCTGCTTGAAACTCACGAAACATTTGACGTGTATATATATTGGCAAGTTGTACCTCTTGTTGTGTCCCATATTGCAACTTAGGCCGCCCATTCCTATCATCATGATCACATTGATTCTCGCGTTCTCGTTGCCTTGAAAGTGCTCTATCAAATCGGGTGACAAACTCATTAAAACCACACCCTTTGTACACAAATTTCTTTAAAAAAGAATGTGTAGTCTCACTTCGTTGAGTTGAGGACATGCCAGCTGAAAAAACTTTCTTGAAATAGGCTGGAACCCATTGTTCCCGAATCCGAAACATGTATGACATCCAACCATTATCTTGCAAACCATTTTCCTTGATAGCATCATCCCATTGTAATTCAAATTCTGCAGGTGTCTCGGAGTGTTTGATAACATGATAAATGTTGTCAAAGGTTGGTAGAGAGCTTATAAGCG